TTTGAATAAAATTAAAAGCTTAATTCTAACTTATTAAACAATAACTATATCCAAAAGAAACTAAAACAAGAAATTACAAATTAGATAAGCTAACCTTTTTTTTCATTTTTTTTTATATTTTCAATGTTCCCATGGGAGCTTTATTATATAGACGTCTGATTTTATTCAAACTCAACCCATAACTCAGAAACAATAAACAATTACTTTATCTCGAAAAACTATGAAGAAAAATAAAAAAACAGAAAAGTTAAAATTAATTGTTTATTTTGTTCTCGATTGTTTCTATGGGAGCCATGTGATATAGTCGTCCGATCCAGCTCGGAAACTTTTAGGAGAGCTTCATGCTGATAAAAACTGAGAGAAACGGACGGACTGACAGACGGTCAGACAGACAGATCGACTCTCTCAGATTTTGAAACTTAAAAATAACTTTGTAGTTCAAAATTATTTTTTTTTAGTTGTTTAAGATATATTAATGGTTTATATATATATCTAACTATATCTATCTATATATCTATCTATATCTAACAGCACAAAAAATATTTAAAAAAATTTTTTAAAAATATAACTTCACTCTTTTTAAATTCATTTGAACATATTTTTAGGTGTAGTTATTGTTTACTTTTTCAGTATTACGAGCTTAGTTTTAAATCGATAAACAATATCATATAACAGCCGTAGTTTATTTTTATAGGCATAGAAATCACAATGTAGTTGTTTGTAATAAATGCAAAAGCTTAGGCTTGCCGAAGTGCAAGAAGCTAGCAACACAGTTGAGCAATACTTCCGACCCTATAAAGCATATATATTCTTGAACAGCATCACTAGGAGAGTGTACCTAGCCATGTCCGTCTGTCCGTCAGTTAGTATGTCCGTCCGTCCGTTTCTACGCAAGCTTATCTTTCAGTTTTAAAGCTATCTTCATGAAACTTTGCAAAAAATTTTTTGCTTATTGCCGGTAGTATACGTCGAAATGAGTCAGATCGGAATACGGATCACAAAGCTGCCAAAGGAACAATCGGGAAAAATGAAAAAAATTATTATATGCTGTTTTTTCATTTTTTTGTTCAGTTTTTCAATATTTAGTGATAGTTTACCATTTTGAAATTACGGTTATATAAATCCATTCAAAACAACTAGAAAACTAAAAAAAGAAATAAACAAAACAATTGCAGTTTCTCTTATTTCGCTGTCCTTCTGTCCGTCTGAATGAACATCGAGATCTCGGAAACTATAAAAGCTAGAGATTTGGGATTTGAAATGCAGATACTCGTATCCTACGCAGCCTACTACAGCCCACAAATCGCGAAACTCTAAACACGCCTGTCACGTCACTCTAAGACATGTTAAGCCTTTGTTGTTATACTCTGTGTGTGGCCTAGTCATATTTATCGGTAGGCACCACAATTTGCAAAATCGAGCTATTATTTTAGAAGTTATAGGTTTGTTAAGTCCTCTGCCGCCTCTTTGCCGCCCCTCTACCGCTGATCGGCTGCTGCTTCTAGTGTTTATTATGCAGTTCGACAGATGGGGCCACCTAAGCCTTGAATGTTTTTTGAGGGTATATTTACTTTGAAATTTGTTGGCTGAATAATGGGTATCTAATATTCGAAGAACTTGACTATAGTGTTTTTAATTTTTGTCATGTAGAAATGAACGACTTAATTTAGTGCAAAAAAAAAGCACGGCTTGAGTTTCTGTTCATTTTCAATATTTTTTCCAAACACCGTAATTAAAGTTTACTAGATCATTTGATGCGGAATTGAATTCCGCAAATTGGCAATGACATTCTCTGTTGTCTAAGGTATCTGTATCACAAAGTTGTTCGATAGCTTTTATACCACTAACACTCACTGGATAGGGAACCGAACTCAGACCTCGTTAGCAGGTCACTTTAAAATCATCAGCTATCGGTGGATATAGCAGCTAAACGTCAAGAACTTCTCTCAAAAGCCTTGCAATTATGGAGTTTTCATACACTTCTAGTTCTTGAGTTCTTGAAAAATTAGTGCATTGTCTTTTTGAAAGTGATCTGCTTTACTATATAGACTCGAATAAAACAACTAAAATTTTAGGTTGCTGATTCGAAGATGTACGCTATATATATACATTTGCAACATGCTACATGTTTTTGGGCGAGTAATTCTCTTTTAGATATTGTATTGGATTTATTGACCTTCTATTTTTCGTAGTTAGTTATAAATTTCTATAACACATAGTTTTTGATAACTTGTCTATGTAAAAACTGTTTATGTGAAAAAATTTTTTTATTCCTTTTAGGGACGGACATTTCAATAGCTGACGAAAAAAATATGCGCTGTCTTGCTCTTCCATGCTATTAAAAATTATTCACCGTAAATCCGAAATGTTAACATTTGTTCTCATCCTTAAAAAAATTTTATAATTTATAAAAGATACCTTAAAACTGTTTTTATTATTTTGATCATTTATAACTGATTCTTTATATTTATATAGCATCCAAAAGAAGAGCTGGAATTGCATGAATTTTTTGGATTTTCCGTATCTCGAATAAGTGTACAATTTCTTTAATTTAAATTTGACCAATGCAGAAGACTCAATAATAACTTATAACTTATTTATATTTTTTAACCCTTGCAGAGGGTATTATAATTTCAGTCATAAGTTTGCAACGCAGTGGAGGAGGCATCTCCGACCCTATAAAGTATATATATTCTTGATCAGCATCACTAGAAGAGTCGATCTAGTCATGTCCGTCTGTCCGACTGTCCGTCTGTATTAAACTTTCCCAAAAGTTGTCTTCCTATTGCATGTAGCATAAAATTCGACTGAATCATTTAGCAACCATAGAAACAATTAGAAAAATAAATAAAAAAATTTTAACTTTGCAGTTTTTATATTTTTTTTAATTCTTCGACAAATAGTTATGATTTATTTTTTTACAACTACGATTTTAATTTTATTAAAATCGGAGACTATCAAATAAAGCTCTCATGCGAACAACCAAACTGTACGATTTTCGCCAAGAAGAAAATTGTTCGCAGCTGGATTGATATTTATGGGTTAAATAGACAAGGCTCATTTGTGATATCGGCCTACCTAAATTAATACAGGACCACGTATGCCTGCGTCCACATGTGTGTCAATTATGACCCGTCAAAAAAGATAACTCACGATCGGTCACGTTTTCACACCATCTGCATGCAGAATATTTGAGACTATTTTACCAACGATATCGTTATCTAAATTTTATTGTTTGATTAGGATAAACCATGTAACTGAAAATTGAAGTCTAGAATAGACCTATGTTAACACCCCTTTTGACCCAAGAACATGTATATAAACCCCAAGTTATGCTCAATAAAATCAGTACGAAAAGATCTCTTGACGTATTTACCTCTCCGCAGCCCAATTGGTATTGTACTTATTGCGGCGACTATTGCCAGTGGTATTGTACTTGCGGTACGCAAAAAATATATTTCAGCATTCTGAATTCATTTGAATTCGTATATATGGTGACCCCGACGTCAATTCATTGAATGATTTATTGTACAAAGGCCCAACAGTACAAAATACATTGATGTCTATTTTATTACGGTTTAGATTACACAAATATGTGTTTACCGCTGACATTGAGAAAATGTATAGGCAGATTTGGATAAACCCAAATGACCAGCAATATCAGATGATTGTATGGAGAAACGACCCTTCAGAGAAATTGAGATTTTATCGACTGAAGAAGGTCACGTATGGCATTAAATCAGCAGCTTATTTAGCCACAAGATGTTTAGAATACTTGGCAACAAAGCAGTTGAAGCAGTATCACCTGGGATCGTCTGCTCTTAAAAATAATTTGTATGTGGATGACTGCATTACTGGAGCAGATACAATCCAGGAAGCTTTACTCATCCGAACTTAGCTAGACAAAATATTAGTCAGTTCAGGATTTAAATTGAGAAAAAGGGTGCGCAAACAGCAACAAACTTCTACAGGGGTTAAATAGAGATGACATAATCCCCAATGTGCAATTGGAAGATACTACATATGAAGATTGCAGCATCAAAACTCTTGGAATCCTCTGGAATCCCAAGATAGACAAACTTTGTGGCAAAACACAAATTGCTACAACAACCAAAATAACAAGAAGAGGCGTTGTCTCAGAAATATTCAAAATATTTGATCCTCTTGGATTATTCTCTCCAGTCGTCGTTAAAGCAAAGATATTCATGCAGAGTCTTACAAAGGAGAAATTTGATTACAACGAGGAATTGCCTGATCATCTACAAAGGCAATGGATCCAATTCCGTGACAGTTTAGAGGCGTTAATGACATTAAAATTTCACGTCATGTCTTTGAAGAAAAAAAACGATTTCAAAGGAAATCCACACCATTGTTGATGCTTCAGAAAATGAATATGCAGCAGCCGTTTATATTCGAGCAGTTCACAAAGACAAAAGGGTGACTGTACAATGGCTGTGCGCAAAATCCCGTTTGGCTCCAATAAATACAATTACGCTTCCCCGACTGGTATTGAAAGCAGCAGTGCTAGGTGCACAACTAACATACAATGTAAAGGAACAGTTATCAATGCAAGCAATTCCTACATACTACTGGTCAGATTCGGAAATAGTGCTATCATGGATAAATAGCCCCACTACAATAAAGGATAAATTTGTGGCTTCTAGGATTACGACAATTCAAGAAACGTCTCTTCAAAAGGAATGGCACCATATTCCATCAGAACAGAATGCCGCGGATGTAGCTTCAAGAGGAATATGTGGTTCCAAATTTGCCAGTCACAGCCTTTGGTTTTTTGGCCCACTATTTTTATATGGGCCATCTACAAAGTGGCCAGCACCATATAGACGCCAAATTCATCAATAGTAACAGTAAAAGATGATGTGTTATTTTATCGCATAAAGCATAGGAACTCAATTTCTAAACTGCTTAGGATAGTAGCAAATGTTATGCGTGTGAAAAAAAGGCCACGAGTCAAAGGTGCAACAATCCAGTTAGAAGAGATGGAACGAGCCAGAAAAGTATTACTACCCATTATCCAGGAAAGGCATTTCGGTACGGAATATAGGAGCTTGAAGAACTGTCGTGAAGTTGAAAAAGTGAGCAGTTTAAGCACGCTCACACCATTTTTTGACCAAGATGATCTCATCAGAGCTGGAGGTAAATTGGAAGCAGCTGAATTGTCATTTGATGCCAAGCACCCAATATTACTTCCATATGGCGACCAAATCGTAAAATTAATTTTTGAAAAAATGCATAAGGTGTCCAGGCTCTGGTGGCTATTTCACGCCAGAGATATTGAGCTATAAGAGCAAAAACCATCGCCCGAAGTGTTGTTCTCAACTGCGTAAAGTGTACGAGAGTCAAGCCAAAATTATTGGAGCAAATAATGGGAAATTTACCACCATTAAGAGTAACGAAAGCACGACCATTTTTAAACTCTGGCATTGATTATAGTGGACCATTTAAGATTCATTATAAAATTCGTGGTAAGAAACCACACACTGCATATATTGCAATATTTTGCAGCTTTGCGACTAAAGAAGTCCATCTGGAATTAGTAAGTGATCTTACTACAGAGGCATTTTTGGCAGATCTTCGTCGTTTTATAAGTCGACGAGGAAAATGTCAAACTTTGCATTCCGACAATGCGACTAATTTTGTTGGAGCAAGAAATAAGCTTCAAGAGCTGGAAGATGCAATATTTTCCGAAAAGGCAAAACAATGCATTGTGGAAAGCTGTATTGATCAGGGAGTCAATTTTAAGTTTATTCCACCAAGAGCACCGCATTTTGGAGGATTGTGGGAAGCTGCTGTAAAATCAGCTAAGCATTTGCTGTTAAAAAATGTCATCACAGCTAATCTAACTTATGAGGAGTTAGAAACTGTTTTAGTCGAGATTGAAGCAATTTTAAACTCTCGACCTTTGGTTCCCATGTCAACTGATCCAAATGATTTGACAGCAATTACTCCAGGTAATTTTCTTATTGGAGAACCACTCACCGCCCAAGCTGACAGCGAACCTTCACAGACATTGGGACAACGATGGCAAGCTGTATCAAAACTTAAGCACGCCTTTGGAAGCAATGGTCAACTGATTATCTACAACAGCTACAGCAAAACCAAAGTGGAGACGATCATCAGCAAACATTAAGGAAGGAGAGCTGGTGTTAATAAAAGAAGATAGCACACCAGTACTGCAATGGCCAATGGGAAGAATTGTCAAGGTATTCCACGGAAAAGACAATTTCGTCAGAGTAGTGGAAGTCAAAACAGCAAAAGGATTCTTCAAGTGGGACATTCAGCACATAGCTGTATTATTCCGTATGTAAGCATCCACTTTTAGAGAACCCTGAGGACAGAATTGTTGAAGAAAACACACCTGTTCAGACGAACACTGATAAATATTATGTCTAAGATTTAATGAGCTCTGCACATGTCATGTAGAACTGTGTAATTCGATCAAGAGCCACAATTTACGATCTGGGACCCGACAAGGGTTCAGTTTTTCAAATGCACTTGTAATCTGTAACAGCAGGCCACTTGAGTTATCTAATACCGAACTCTCGGTGTGCGGGGGGCAAAATAAATAACTCCCCCGCCCAGACTAAAAGATTAGGTCTCTGCGTAGACCATAGCTAAGATTAGAATAAGATTTTCACATAAGTTTCTTGTCAAGAAGTTTTAAATAAAATGAAACAGTTTCAATACAGAACTCAAACAAAAAGGTTGTATTTATTTACTATCCTTAACATGTTGGTCCTACGAGCAACGCTACAGTTTTCCCCCACCAGTGGTAAGAGACTTAGTGGAAAGCCAGCACCTTAATTGATTAATTATAACAGAGTATAAATTTAAAAGCAAAAGGACAAATAAGAGTCCTTATTGTTTAAAGCAATTTTCAAAAATAATAAAAAAATAATAAACATTTTTTTGTGAAATTGTGGTCGAGAAATCGACAAGTTAAAATAAAAAAAAAAAAATATAATAAATTGTCATCGAACAATTTGATTTTGAGGCGTATTCGTGGCCCTGAAACAACGAATGAAAAAAAAAAGTGATTAATTAAAATCAGGCCACACATCGAAAAAGTGAAAAAAAAGTATATATATATGTCGGAACATCGAGTTCCTCGATGATTTCTAGGGCGTTGCGAGCCGTGCGCTTTCTTGGCTGTGACATTTCGTGACCTTTTAGTACCGTACCTCGATCGAGACTGCCCGATCTATCAATCAGAGCTCCCTTTTATACAGCCCAAATTGGTCAACATCCCCTTGTTCACATACTTTACCAAATACCATATGGCCGTCTCTTTTACTCGCACCATGTCACAGCGAGACTGCACATAACGGACCTCCGTTAGGCTCAACGCAACACTAACACACAGAAACTCGTATAAAGAAAGGAATGCGAAGGGAGGAACAAAAAGCAACGAGTGGCATTCATAACATAAGCTTTAATTCTAAGTAAAAATGTAATTCCAAGTAATACAGCATTTCATGTTAATTCTTATTTTAAGAGCGTAATACCACGAAAACAAAACTAAAGATCCGACACGGCCATCCTGATATCCACACGTCCTCGTGTGTTACAAATTTTAATGAAAATACTAAGAGTAATTAGAAGGTATCGTTCAATCTGAAACGATCATAAAAAAAATAATAAAACGTATTAATACGTCGCTCGTTGTTACTTTTTTCAATAGTTACTAGTTAATTAGATTATTCGTTTGCGAAGAGCCTTTACTAGAAATCGATTCCCAAAGATTTGAATACCATCTATCACAAACACACCAATCAGGTTTCCACCACTAATTAGGCGCCTCACCATAGCCAGGTGAATACATGATCATGTATGCACCTACAGCAACCTAGTGGCTAGAGTTGATCTAGGTGTATGATTGTACAGAATCTCGCATTGAAGTCCATCAATGCCACATCTTAGTTAGAATCCTCTAACTGACTCGCGACGTCGCCTTCCACGTCGCTTGCTTCATTGGAATCCACCAATAAGCTATCATCATTTTCTATTCTCTCATTACATACATCTAACTCTCTGGGAATCTCTTCAATAGGCATTTTTCTTAAAGCTTCGTGCGCGTATTTATACGTTCGTTTATTAGTTAGTGATTTTAGAACATAGCGGTCGCCTTCAAGTAACTCTGTCACTAAGAATGGGCCTTTAAACTTATTATCTAATTTGGTCTGATGCCTCTCTTCGTTTTTAAGCAAAACATAATCACCAACTTTAAAACTTTTAACTTTACATTTGTTTTTATCAAATCTTTTCTTTTCATATTTAGCATTATTTTTCATATTTTCTTTGGCTTTATTTCTTACAGTGCTTAAATCTACTTTGTTATTTCCTTCACAGAGGGGTAACATATTAAAAGGTCTCGCTTCTTTTCCAATTAATAGTTCTAGAGGACTTGCTTTCGTAATTCGATTTACAGTACAGTTTATGGCCAATTGTATCTCGCCTAAAGCGTCCTGCCAAGTACGCTGACTACTTTCTACGGCAGTCAGCATACCCTTCAGGGTGCTCATTACTCGTTCTACTTGGCCGTTTGCACGGCTGGCTCCCGTTGCAATTAAATGTAATTGTATTTTTTGCATGTTACAAAAGTCTCCAAAGACTGCTCCGGTAAAACTCCTTCCCTGATCTGCTATGATTCTTGTTGGTATGCCAAACATAGATATGGACGATTTCACTGCTTCAACACAACTTTCACTGGTAATATTTATGGTATGGTGCAAATAAACAAATTTAGTAAAGGCATCAACCTGGACTATAATATACTCCTTTTGATCCCTTTTGCCACTTAATTTTCCTGTTATATCTATGTGAACAGTGTGCCATGGAATATCTACTTTCGGTATAGGGTGGAGTTCAATTGGTAATTTACCCGAGGGTGGTTTTGTTAATTTACAGGTGATACAATTACTTACAAATTTTCGGACATATTTAGACATATTGTCGAACCAGTAGAACTCATACATCTTGTCCAATGTCTTTTCCCACCCTAGATGAACTATTGCCTCATGGACGTGGTTTACTACCGACCACCTAAATGATCTGGGCACTACTGGAAGGCTGCGCGTCCTACCATTTCTTTGAATTATACGGAAAAGTATTTTAGAACGCAATTCATATGTTTTGGCCAAATCTTCTCCCAGTTCTTCATTTTGAATTCTTGAAATAATGGATAAAGTTTCTTCATCTCGTTGCTGCTCAGCCAGCAACCAATTGTCCGATATTTCGGCCAACGAAACACATTTGTTTTCAGGACTGGGATACAATTTAGTAATTACCTTCGATGGCATCGGGTTGCGTGATAAAAAATCTACGTGGGCCATTTTTGCACCAGGTACATATTTTATATCGAAATCAAACATTTGCATATAGGCCCACCAACGTTGTACTCTTGGTGTAAGGCTTATTTTATTTCGCGTAGCTTGCAGAGAATTACAATCCGTAAATACAACAAAATGACGGCCGTGTAAATAGTGTCGGAAATGTTTCATAGCGTTAAACACGGCTAGTGTTTCTAACTCGTAAGAGTGGTAACGTGATTCAGTTGCAGATGTTTGTTTACTGAAATATTCAATGACCCTAGGTTTATTGTCGATTTTATGAAGTAGTATTGCACCGTAGCCATCCATGCTCGCGTCAGTGTGCAATTCGAGGGGATATTTCGGGTCAAAAATGAAAAGCACCGGCTTATCAGTTAAAATTTTGATAATTTTTTTTCGCACTTCCTCATGGTCGCTTTTCCACTCGAATACTTTATTTTTACAGGTAACGGCGTACAATGGCTTCATTATTTCAGAAAATTTTGGGACGAACTGTCGAAAGTAGGACGCCAAACCGATAAACTGCCTTACTTGTGTAACTGACTGTGGAGGGGGTAGATTGACCAAAGCATGCACCTTTCGTGGATTGGGTCTAACTTCGCCATCTTTGATTTGAAAACCTAAATAATCCACGCTTGTTTTTAAAAAGGAACATTTCGCGATATTAAATGAAAAACCAGCTTGAGATAATAAGCTTAGAACTGTTCTTAATCTTTCAAATGCTTCTTCTTCTGTACCAGAGGTTATTAAGATATCATCCATATAAACTACGACATATGAATATGCCAGCTCACCTAACGCCTTAAT